TATCTAATGCCAGTTAGTAAAATGTTTGACTTCGTATATAGTATACAGTACACCTTTCTATGCATGTTAGTGTTGCTAATAAGTACCGTCCAGTCGGTTCCAACACATAGCGACCTGCAACCCTGTGATGAGCAGCTCTTGGGCTTGAACTAATGATCCTGTGTTTCGCAGTCCAGTGCTAATTCTACAGCGCCAGACCAGGAGTCCATTTCTATGCATATAAGACATTAAAGAGACACTTTCCAGATTCACCAAAACATCTTTAACAAGATAATATAATAGTGATGTTTTATGCTTGTTGAAAAGTAGAGTTCAGTTATTATTATAACTCTTTTATGTACCTTGAATTTTAATATCATAGGCTTTTCCATAATCTAGGGGCTGCCGGTACTTGTGACTAGAATGTATGAGAGTAGAAAATTAATTGGCGTGAGGGAATATTAAGCTATATCTGCATAAAGTGTAATTGCTTGGAGGTCAACAAAAATACCTTACCACATGAACATGGTCTGCATTTAAAACACTTTTATAGGCTGGGGTTTTGTTCTTTCCTGATGGGAGTGTGTGAGAACTCTGACCATTGCATATGTCCTGGCGACTGTTCCTATACATTGCCATCGTCTGTCTTTTGCCTCTCCAAGACTGAATCTCTCTACCCTTACTTAATAATTGATCACCCCTAGAGTTTTAGCATTTTAAGACTTCCACTATCCTGATGCCATCATGACTTAACAGAGTGCACATCTTAGGGATAAAAATGAGAGGGGAGGGCAATAATGGAGAAAATAGATGACATTGGATAGTAACTTACTTTGGATAGATCCTCACCTGGGTTTGTGAAGGAAGCGCACTGATATGCTGTCGAGGTCCTATGTCGGGGTCCCGCCTTGACAAGGAAGTGTGGGTGTCACGAAGAAGGGAGATCTGGCAGCGAAAGTGGTAGAGAAAGAGAGAGACTAAATATATACAAAAAAGACAGACACACAGATATGATGCAAGCTGGCAGGTAGACAGATCTGCAAACATATTGCCTAGCATTGCCCAGCATTGCATGCAGAACTCACTTTACCTCAGCCTTTTATTCTCTTTTTTAGGGAGGGATTTGTTACAAAGGGAGGATGTCACAAAGGGGGAGGATGTGATTAAGACAGGATACGGAACTGAAATGTGATTAATCATTCAAAACAGGACATAATGATTCACAGGAACAACTTTTAAGATATTTTCATAGTTTTTCTTAACAATCTAACATTTTCATTTTTACAGAAAAAAAGGTTCAATCAAGCTGTTATATATTAACTTTCAGGCTTAAATGATCTAGAGTAGCAATGTGCGGTTTCTTAAGGATACATAACATAAAGCAAGGTTCCTGAAAGGAGCCAAGCTGTCTCTGTACACTTTGCAAACTTTTGTTTGTGAGCAAGAGCTCAGGCACCGGGCTTCATTTATCTATACCTAAAATGCTACATTGTTCTTAATATTCCTATATACTTTCAGGAGGAAGGAGAGCATCTGGGTTAAACTGATTATATTTAGAGGTGGTTTAATGGGGCTGCCACTGGTCAACCCAGGGTCTGTGTATGCTGTCCCCAGCAATATGCATACTTTGAAAACATAGTGTACATACCAATTCTTTGCAATGCCAGAAACATTTAATAAAGCGAATCCAATGAATGTCATTTTTACCATCTAAATAATATAAAGAAGCCACTAGATGGTGCTGTAGACTAAAAAGTACATTAACAGCTAAGGAGGCAGGGTGTGACTAGAGATTAAATCTTCTATTAATTTACTCTCTTCTCATCAGTCAGATATTTCGTTTCTGGCTTTTTGTTTTTTTTCCTAGCAGCATATTTCATTCGGGTTATGGAAGATATTAACTCATAATAATCAGTGAGCCAAAAGCAAATTTGTTCCACTGAATTCATATCTTGTACTTAAGGATTAAACGAGCTTCAGTTTGCTAATGACAGTGAAACTCGATGCAGATGTGAATTTGAGATCAAGTGACTGACTCAAATATTTGGGGCAACATCAGTGCCCAGTTTGGATTGGGTTATTCAAGTAAGGGAAGTAACTATTAATAACTCGATTCATAACCATGTTGTTTGACCCATATTTGTGCAGTAAATATGTCTTATAAATCTGTGATGTGAAACTTATCATGTTATTTTTCCCAGTTCCAGTATCTCTTTCCAGAATATTTTGAAGTGTAGTCTCATAGATTCTTGTGGCTTGGCTGGCATGAGGTTATTATACTTCATCACAACACTCGTTTTCCAGAGCATTTATCATGCTAATGCTGTGTTTATTTGATTTTCCCATTTAAACTGCCTTACAAGACAGCTTTTAGAAAAGGCTAGTTACTGATCCACACAGGGTCTCTGAACTAGAAAAGAATTTAGCAGTTAGCCATACACGTATAACTGTTAAAGAGTTCTCACTGTGATGTACTAACTTACTTGTAAATATGTCACATGGAATGCTTGCAAGATTTGAATGTCATTTAAGTAATACCTTTGTGTAGGCTTAGAAAAAAATTCTATTTTTTCTGAACTTGGTGTAAGATTATGAAGAAATGCTCTCTTTAGAATCAGTACTGTTTGGGAAAGTCCATTATTGGTTCTCATTAGAATTTAACTAAATATAACTAAAATCAGATGAGTATAAATGATTCTTTTCCTCTAAGAATACAAAATACTCAGTGTATATTGTAGAATGAGGATATTTTAAGATTATTAATGGCTATGAAAATATATGGGAGACGTGGTGTGGCGCTGTGGATTAAAGCATTGGACTGCAAAGTCGGTTTGATACGCAAGGCTGGAGGTTCAAGTATACCAGCCGCTCCTTGGAAACTATACAGGGTTGCTTTGGGTTGGAACCAATTGACGGCGCTTAGCAACAACAACAAAAAATGAAAGTGAGGCATTCGGACATAGGGGTTGGATGATTTGATACTTGGAATTCATAACCTGCTGAACCTGGCTTTGTTTAGCAAATTCACAATTCAGTATATTAAAGTCCAAGTAGTTATTGTTTTATTTTTTGAAATTTTTATTGTTAATTGGGTGGATGTTTATGGACTAGATCAGTTCTCCATTCAACAATTCGTACACATTCTGTTTCATCCCACCGATTACAGTCCCTACAAAGGAACACATCCCACTTCCTTCCCACATTCCCTGCTCCAATTCCATCCTCTTTCCTAACTCTTCTGAACCTGATCTCAAACGGTCAGTTGTTCTAGGATGTACACAACTCACTAGTGTTATTGTTCCCCTTAAAGAATAATTCATACCCGAAGACTGTTAGCATTTTGAGGATGTGCGTCACGTTTGTATTTTGTCATAGGGTTTTCCTTTGTGTTTATTTTGGATGATGTAATCATATTTGTGTTGAGTCCTTGTGTGACACTGTGGGTGAATGTGCTGGACTGCAAGGTCAGTTTAAACTGCAAGGTCAGTGGTTCAAGTTCACCAGCTGCTCTTTGGAAACCCTATACAGGTTCACTATGGGTCGAAACCAACTTGACAACATTTAACAACAAGAACAAAAGTCTATCAACCTGACTGCAGGGCGTGATGACGGTGCAGGACCCAGGAAACTGAGAGAAGGGACAGGAGACAGTTAGGGAACTGTTTATGGGGAAATGGGAAACCCACTAAAGGAATCAAGACATTGTATTGTTGTGAAAGAAATGTATTCGAGGGCCAGAGCTGTACTGTCCGATTTCTAAAGCAGGATGAAAACAACCTTGTGTTTCACTAGGTGTTTTTCCTCTCTCTTACTTTTTATAATAAGTCAGAAATTCTGCTCTGTGGAAAAGTATTGAATCCCATGGAGTGCTCCCTCATCCCTTCTGTACATGGCATGAAGCCAGCGTTGTGCATTACTGAAGATTGATTTTGTAATTACTGTGAACTTTGTGTTTCACCCAATATTGATTCTTAAACGGCCCATTAAGATAGAGATACTTAGCTGTTAATATGGTGACTTACAAGTAGCACATGTACTTAATTATTTTACAAAACTTAGATTAGAGAACAATTACACATCGGCTACATAGGAGTGTAGAGATGAGTGTTATTCATGACGGATACATTCTAGAACTTTCCTGAAGCCTCAGATTTGTCCCCTGCAGCATAACTTAACACTTTCTATCATAAGTAGATTACCTTACATTCTTCCAAACACAGAACTGAAGTCTCTTACTTGGCTTCCTTTGGGTGGCCTTTTTTTACAGTTTAGATCTCTGACGAGTAGAGTGTTAGTCTATGAGTTTACAGGCTGCTTAAGGGCAAGAGGGAATGTAGCATGTTCATACCTGCTGGCAACCACTTTCCTCCCACTCACTACCTTATATCCCAATTTGTGCAAAAATGCTATGCTGCTGACCTGAATGTTGTCCTTTGTGATAGATTATTGATTATGTGGTACTTATTAGTTATGGTTCAGCAGTTTGGTCATTTTAACATCTGATCACAGGGTTACTATTTTGTCACTCATAACCTTAGCCAAAGGCAGCATCTTTCTTCTGCATGCCTATCCACATAGGCCTTTGCTCTTAGCCTCTCCCACCCTGTTGGTCCTTTCAGATCAGCAATCACCGTATGCTGATTTCACCCAAGTCTAGATCCCTGAGTTCATCCAACCCTCTCTACTGTGTCCAGAGCAATTGCGACTTTGTAATGTACCCTGATGGTCAGTGGAGACAAGGGGAGGGAAAATGGGAAGCATGTGAGCTGAGCAGAATTTGAAAGGTGTCTTTCCCAGAGTCAAGTGAAAATGTGATGGGATTTGAACTTTCTTGAGTTCTGTAATAGAATACCAATACACATTAATAAGCATATTAAATACTGTTGTTTACTAAAATTTATACTGACCTCAAGCATGCTCCTTCATTTTGAACCCGGATCACCAAGGTGCATGTTTGGGTGAGTTCCTTTACAGTTGCTGAGGTCTCTTTTTTGTCTTTTCCTGTTCTTTTTGCCATCCAGAGGATGACGTGGACTTGGAAGCACTTGTGAATGACATGAACACATCCCTGGAGAGTCTGTACTCGACCTGCAGCATGCAGTCAGAGACGGCGCCCCTCCTCCAGAATGGGCAGCATGCCTGCAGCCCCCTGCTGACCTCAGGCACAAGAACGCTCCAGCCACAGGTGTCCCCGCAGCAGAAGGTGCAGCGCTCACAGCCTGTGCACATTCTGGCTGTCAGGTAGGACTCGGATCCATGGGGGGAGCGTTGCACAGCAAGTGTCTCACAGAGCAGGATGCTCTAGGTTGGCTGGCTCAGTGTTGATGGGGCATGTATGAGGCTCCTGTGACCACTTTCACTAAGAATCACAAATGGGTGCCTTATTCTAGTGTGGCTCTGTGGATCAGAACTGGACTGCAAACCCACCGTCCGCTCCTCGGAAATACTATATGGGGTTGCTATGAGTTAGAACCGACTCAGTGACTCTTCACAACAATTCTAAACCACACTCACTGCCATCAAGTTGATTTCAACTCACAGTAAACCTGTGTAGGGTTTCTGAGAATTTAAGTCTTTCTGACAGCCTCATTTTTCTTCTGCAGAGCCATTGGTAGGCTTAAACCATTGATGTTAAGAGTTAGCAGCCATTGCTTACACCACAGGGCTCCTGGGTGCCTTATAAGAGTAGAGATTTATTGTCTTACACTTCAGGGGCCTTAGAATCTGCACGTAGGTGGCAGCAGGACAATGCTCCCTCTGAAGACTCTAACGGAAGACTCTTTCTTGCCTTTCTTAAGTAGTGCCAGGTATTCCTTAGAATGTAGGTATATCTACATACCACGGTTTTTGCTCTGTCTCTCTGCATTAGACCCCAATTTGAAAGGTGTCCTTATAACCTCATATTCTTTGTTCCAGTATGACCTCATATTAACTGAATTGATAACATCTTCAAAGATCCTGTTTCCAAATACGAGAAACAGTTGCTGATACCAACTACCACTTAAGTAATCCAATCTGTACTCATTTTAGCAAGAGTGAGATATTTTTTATTTGAACCAACTACCACTTAAGTAATCCAATCTGTACTCATTTTAGCAAGAGTGAGATTTTTTATATTCGATTTTGCAAAATTGGGCGCCCAACTCAGTAGACACCGGCAGACACACTGCATGGCCAGCCTGCAAACAGTTTTATTCCCTTTTCTCAAGAAAGCCCCTCCGTCCAGTTCCCTTTTTATTGGGTACTATGGAGTTTTACAATTCTACCCCAAGTGTCCCATTTTCCCTCACCCCAGAGTAGTCAAAATGGTCTTAATATGTAGCCCATGGTCTGAATGACTGTTTTTTTACTTACAGTTCCTAGTCCTAGAACGGATTTATTTCCCCACGTCCCCCAATTCATCCTGCTTACATATCCCTGGGTGTGAATCAGCAACCGCTGTCGAGTCTAGCAATCTCAGGTATCCTTAACTCCTGAGGATGCACCATCTGGAGAATCTCTCACACAAACAATGACACATTTACAGGTACTGAGGTTAGGACTTCAACGTACCTTTTTGTGGGACGTCATTCAGTCTACAACAGGAGGCCATGGTTGGCCATGTGAAATCAGACACAGATAAATTTAATTTTATTTTTAATGACCAATTATACTGAAAACGTGTGGGCATGCCATTTAAACACAGTGGCACCTGGGTTGAGTTTGATACCTGGCTCAGTTCAGATACTTTTTATATACCTGATGTATGCCAAGCACTCAGTGATATAGAGAATCCTAGAATAACGCTGTAGGATAAGCACTGGACTGCTAACCACGAGGCTGAAGGTTCAAACGCTCCAGTTGCTCCTCAGAAACCCTATACAGGGTCGCTATGAGTCAGAATTGACTTAACTACCCTTAACAAGTGAAGTGGAGGGATGGAAAGACCATTGCAGGAAAGACCTTGATCTGGACCAACAGCAATGGTGGCCAGCTAGCATGCAAAATCTCCCAACCCAGAGTCTGCACTTGAGCATCTTTTCCTAGGCTGTGAAGCACATGCTTTATGTTGAGCCTCACTACAAGCTTAATAAGTACCAAGGTAAGTCACAAAGTATTGATCAGTGGACGGCTAAGGCAAGTCTTAGTCTTGTGTAGGGTGCCTTCACACATACCCAATAATGGTCCAATTAAACAGTGACTTTCAAGGAGATCTGCTGCTGGGTTAGGAAAATTGAAGGCATAGAGATCAGCTCAAAAGGTTATGCCAACTGTTTTATAGAATTCCAAAGGGATAATCTTGATAGATTTTCTCTTAGGACACAGGATAGACATGGAGGCTTATTCGAAGTTTTAAGAAAATGGAAAACTGCATTGGTGGGAAAAATGGCAACAAGGAATTTTTATTTTTTTAAGTCTTGACTGCATCTGCTCATTTTTTGAGGTAGCAAGGGCTGTCCTACACAGATTTCATTGGGAAACCTTACCCCATCCATGCTACAGTCTTGCTCTTTCCCCTTCAGAATTGGTTTGTTCCCAAACTCAAAGAATATATTACAGGAACAGGATTTTGAGTCTCTAAAGGATGTGTAAACTGCAGTTTTGATGTGGTGTAAATTAAAGCAGTGTTCTTCAGGCAAGGGTTAGAGATATGAAAGCATGCCTTCAACAGTGTAATAGACCCAGATGGAAGTTATGTCAAAAAACAGTGGCCTGCTCCACATTTAATACTGTTAAAACCTTTAGTCAAAAAGGTTTCTATGACTTTTTTTTTTGCAATGCTTTTTGACTCACACTCATGTGCAGACAGGGGTCCTGGTGTGGTGCCATAGGATAAGCACTCGACTATAGGTTAGTTTGAACTGCAAGGTTGGCAGTTCAAACTCACCAGCCACCCCTTGGAAACACTAGACAGGGTTGCAATGAGTCAGAACTGACTGGATAGCACTTAACAACAACAAGAACAACAACAACATATGTAGAGACCTAGAGAATTGAGGGAGTAAGTTGCTAGGGAAGCTGAGGAATGTTCCATGAAGATGGTAGATTGCAAAATTGGATGTTGTAGGGTGAGAATGGACTGAGAGCTGGAGAAGACTTTGTGAGCAGCAGAGAGAGTCTCCACAGACTTCGGAGCCAGACCATGAAGGTTTCATGTGTCATTCTGAGCAGAAAGACAGGAAGAGTTTTGAGTAAGGGATTGATGAGATTGAATATAAAAGTTTTGGTGGACTGACTCTGGATGCTAGTAGTAAGAAAGTTGATGGGCAGTCATGTTGGAAGAGTGAAGCGCAAATTGGGAGTTTTTAAGGAGCTCTGGTAGCATAGTGGTTACGAATCGGGCTGCGAACCTTAAGGTCAGCAGTTCGAAACTACCAGCCGCTCCGTGGGAGAAAGATGAGGCTTTCTGTTCTCGTAAAGATTTCCAGCCTTGGAAGCCCTATACAGGGTCGCTGTGGGTCGGAGCTGACTCGAAGGCAGATAGCAACAACAACAAAGAAGTCCAAAGTGGAGATGATGGTGCTTTGGCAAACTCTGTGGTGGAGGCATGGATCACTTAGCAAATTCAGAGGCTGAATTCACAGGATCTTATCAACTGTTACAGTTTAAAGGAGTCAAAGGGGAAAAGAAATTTTAAGGTGACTAGGATTTTGTCGTGAGCGCATGGGATATTGGTGACTAGACAATTTAGGAAAGCAGTTTTGAAGTGGAAGATGTTGAGATAATGTTAAGTACTCTAAAAGAGAGATCCATGTGAATCAAGCTAAGAAAAACACAGTTATTGAGACAATTATCTGTGTTGGTATTGAGGGATTTTAGGGAAGAGCAATATGAAGTGGGATGGTTAGATAAGACTACCTCTTGCTTCCTTTTTCTCTCATCTTAGCTTGTTTGTATTATGTGTTGAACCTCCTATGCCCTTGCTTCAGCCTGTCATTCATTGCAAATCCCTTTTTTCAGTAACTTAAAAGGTGACTATATACTTGGATCTCACCAGATTGGGAATGCACAAGGAATCAAATTGACTACATGTATGGGAAGAGAAATTGGAGACGCTCAATATCATCAGCCAAAACAAGGCCAGGGATCAACTGTAACTAGACCATCCATTGTTCGTATGCAACAATGACCTCAAACATAACAACAATTTATGGGTATGGTACGGGACCAGGCAGTCTTTCGTTCTGTTGTGAATGGGATTGCAATGAGTTGGAACTGATCTGAGGGCACCTAACTACAGCAACAAAAGCCTTTGTCGGAGTTGGCTTCTGGTGACTGCTCCTTTCTCAGCAGCAGCAGATCTCCATAGAACCTTCTTTCTCTCTACTGCAGTCCTCTGTTCTTGATGAAACTTCTGAGACTTTCCTTTTAGATCTGATTGTCAGTCCTCTTACCACTAAGGTAGCTTGCCCTAGGATTTGACAATAGAGTAGATGTAGAATTTCCTGTAAAGAGGCTACTGATGGCTGGAGGAGGGGGCTGTGATGATTGAACCGTTGTCCCACTTGACTTTCTAGAGCATCGCTCACTTTTTTTTCCTAAGAGATCATTAAATGTATGTAAAGAATGAATGTACATTTTTAATTTGCTACCTGCAGTGATAATGCTATTTCCTGTTTGTACATCTCTCTCACTGCTAGTCTGTAAGCACTTGGAGGATAAAAACAATGCCTCATTCATCTTTTTGTCCCTAGGTCCTAGCCCAGTGCAAGACACAAAAGGATATGGTAACATTTGATGAATGGGTGATAACCAACCATTACCATCCAGTTGGTTCCAACTCATAGCGACCCTTTGTTGTTGGTGGGTGCCATGGAGTCGGTTCTGACTCATAGTGACCCTATGCATAACAGAGTGAAACACTGCCCAGTCCTGTACCATCCTCACAATTACTGTTAGTCTGGAGCCCATTGCTGCTCCCACTGTGCCAGTCCATGTCGTTGGGGGTCTTCCTCTTTTTCATTGACCCTCGACTTTACCAAACATGATATTCTTCTCAAGGGACTGGTTTCTCCTGATACCATGTCCCAAGGATGAGAGACCAAGTCTCGCCATTATGGCTTCTACAGAGCATTCTGACTGTACTTCTTCCAGCACAGATTTGTGTGTTCTTCTACCATCTGTGGTTCTTTTAATATTCTTCTCCCACACCATAACTTACAAGCATCTCAACTCTTCTATGGTTTTCTGTATCCATTGTCTTCACATACATATTAAGCCACTGAAAATACCAAGACTAACCCTTCAGGACAGAGTAAAAC